ATATAATTTTGGAAGTATTAAAAAATCATTTTAATATTTTATTATTATTATTATTACTTAATTTACAATTTTAATATTTTATTTTAATATATTAGAAAGATATAAAGGATGATTTTTTAATGTTTGATCATATCATTATGGTGATTTTCTATTTTTAAGAAAATATAATTTTTAAGATATTAAAGAATATATTTAAAAAGAGTCGAGAAAAAGTAAAATATTGGAAATTTTTTTTATATTAAAATATCTTAGTTTTATTTTTTTTTAGAGTAACATTTATTTATTGTTTATTATTGAGAAGTTAAAATATATTTTTTCTTTTCTTCTAACTATATTGTTATTATTTTTTTTCTTTTTATTTTTCCTATTAATTTCTTTTATAATGTGAAATTATAATTAACTTTTTTATTTTATTTTATAAAATTTATTATATGATCAATTGATTTGTGTTAATTTCTTTATTCAGGTTTAGATAGATTCTCTGCAATACAAGTGATTAATGCATTGAGAATTATAAGTTCGGAATCTACAGTATTTTGCACGATTCATCAACCAGGAATGGATATATATAATATTTTTACCCATGTCTTATTGCTATCCGATGGAAAAACAGGTTATTTTGGATCTTTGAAAGATGCTACAAAATTCTTCTTAAGGTATCTAATTTCTAATTATTTTTTTTTTTTTAATTATAACGCAGTAATTATAAAATGAACAACTTTTTAAAATTATCATTTGAAAATTTATCTATCATAAAGTAATTTCTTAACAAATAATTTCTTCCATTTTTTGTATTAAAAAAATTAGATATATTATCATGAAAAATTTCAAACAAATTTTATCTAAACATAGAAATATAATTGATAAGAAAATATTATTCTTTAAAATAATATACAAGATGAATCATCTAAAAGACCGAACGTTTTAAATCATTAATAGCAAATTATATGGGAAAAAGTTAACGACATTAAATTTCGATTTCTCAAATTTTTACAAGAATTTCATACAATTCTAAATGTCGAAAAAATAATAGTTTAGATTACGAATGCCCAGCTGGCTTCGACGAATCCGAGTACTACGTAAAACTCTTATCTCGAAGAAACCCCATAACGTACGCGACAAATCCCAACCCTGAGGACACTGGACCCAATGAACTTATCGATAAGATATGTCGAGCATTCTCACGATCTCCTCTCTCGAGGATACCTGAAATCAAAAACACAAGATACTTTGAAATCGAGCCACAGAGGTGATATGACGAAAGACTTTTTTGGAAGGAGTAATTAATAAATATTATAAAATTAATCTTCGAACAAATTTAACAATGGAAATAATTTATAGAAAGTCTGGATATACGAGACAATTCTTTTGGTTAACGTGGAGAATATGGGTTCAGAATCGAAGGACGATCTTCGAGGGATGGATTTCATGGTTTTCTTATTTCGTAAGTTTTATTTTTATGTTAATTATTTATTAAGAAAAATTGATTTCATTAAATTTTTAATAGTGGCCGAAATTAATTAAAATATCTAGAAACCACTGTTCAACTTTTACAAAATTACAGCGCGTAATAATAAAATTATTAGAATTTTTCCTTCTTTTAAAATCACAATAAAAAAAAAACTTCGAAACATTTAGAAAGATTTTGATGAATAGTAACCGGAAAAATAACCAGAAAAGTAACTAGAATCTAGGGTTCACTTTTTCACAAAATTACGCGATTCGGAGCGCGATTTTTCCGAATATTCTTTCCAATAATGGAAAAAAAAAAAAAAGAAAAGTGATAAAGGAAATGAACGACAAAACGGAAGAGAAATAGATAATAATTTAAATTAATCGTAGCTCTCCATAGTGGCAGTAGCCACTTTTTACACGGGTATTAATCCAAGGACGCAAGAGGGTGTGCAAAACGCGAGGGGTGCTTTGTACATGATGAGTTCTGAAATTTCGTTCACGGTCGCCTATTCCGTGATTTACGAATTCCCTGGCCAGCTTTTGATTTATTTGCGGGAGGACGGCATTTATAGTTGTGGACCCTATTACGTCGCCACGTTTTGCGGATTGGTAATAGTACAATAATTTCACATTCAATGTTCCAGCTACGATAAAAATTCGTTTCATTCTTTATTTGTCTCTATTTCGTATGAATGAGTTTTATTTGGTTTGTGGTAATAATGATTACTTTATGATTGGATTGTCTATTTTATTTAAATAAATGTGAAATAAATAATAATGAAATTAAGAAAAGAATGTTGTTTGTTTTTTTGTAATAGGTTGTTAATTTTTTATAAGAAAAGTATTAAAATATTTATATTAATTTAAAATTAACTCATTGATATAAAGTGATTACTATTACTATATAGTAAGTTTTTACAAAGTTACGATAAACTTTTCATGATTTTTTAATATTAAATAATATTAACATATTTTTGCATAAAAATTGATTTCTATTTAAAAAAAACGAAGATCTTTTTCTTCACATAACCTCTCTGTCTACAAAAAAACTATTAATGCTATTTTAATATCAAATAACTTTTGTAACAACAAATTTTTTCATTATTCCTTTTTTAAAAAATATTTCACTACATTTAAGTAAAATAAATATCTATTTACATTATTGTATAATGATAATAAATTCTAATCTGATTTAAATAGATTATTTATTAGTTATTATTATTTCTAAAAAATAGTTTTCAACTATTAAGTTGTAAACAATTGATGTTTGTATTAGACTTAAATTGTTTGCAGCTTAATAAATAAGCATTAATTGAAATTTTTGTGTATGTTTTGGCCTCTAGAATACTACAAATACGTGTATAGCCTATAAATGGATTTTTTAGATACCAAAAGCTACGTTGAAGGCTGTTATATTCACAACAATTATATATTTTCTTTTAATAAGTCAAGTGGATTTGTTGAATTTTTTATTCTACTGTCTAATTACATCGACAGCTGCAATTTGTGGCACAGCATATGGTTTAATGTTTTCCATTATGATCGAGAATATCGATGTCGCTACATCAATCATGGTACCTATTGACATGTTATTTTTACTAACTGCTGGGATGTTTTACAATCTCAGGTATTTATATATACCACATAAAAATAAAATAGAAATTATATATATATATATATATATATATACTAATTTATTATAATAAACTAACTAA